ATTTTTTGTGCATTATTTTGTCACACATCTGACAAATCAAAAATGGATGTCCAGCACGCACAGGTCTATCGCAACAGCAGCAGATTTCGCATATCAGTTTGACTACCATGACTGGATTACAGATCTACGAGAACGTGGGGAAAATCTATTTTGGGCCTTGGTAACATCACTGAACAACCTCCCATCAACGGGGCTACCTAGAATCTTATGGGCAATTGCCCGGGAGAGTTTGAAGATACCGCTTGACCCCAGGTGGATTGGGTCATCCGGCTTCTTGTACCTACAAAACTGTTTGTTCAGTAGACCCTCCTCATCGACAAAACTATCAAAATCTAAATTTCCTATTCTAGCGTTGGTATTACAGTACCCAAACAATATACTATTAAACTCCATGGCTCTCTCATTTAGCCAGGAGGACCTAGTTGGTAGGATTGGTGAAACTATAACTTTAGAGTAAGGACAAATTTCACAAATATTCGTGAGCTTCTTCGTCAGCTCATTAGCCCAGTGTTTAACATCACCCCCTCCCCTCTTAATATTATTTACACCACAGTGTACTACAACATTCTTATATCCTACACAAAGGGCAGGGTCTAACTGATCTATTGTGAAGCATTCAAGTCTTTTTCCAGGCAGTTTGTGACCGAATGTCCCTTTTCCAGCACCAAATCGGAGGAACCGGGTATTTGAGTCACCAATAATCAATGTTGCATTGCTACTGCTGCTCACGTAGCGGAATGTTATACTGAATCTCACGTCCCTCCTTTCACTGCTCTTATCTATTCTGTGGTCCCAGAGGAACTGAGACTGCTTGCTCATGATATATAGACTGCGTCCCTCTATTGTCTCAATGACTTCCCCACTTTCTGATCCTTTCATTGAGAACTTAACTGAACACTGGCTTCCTAACGATACAGTGAAAATCGAACTATCATGCACAAGCGAGTTCTCGTTATCCGAGTGTTTAGGGAGAAAACTGCTCTCATCATTGTACCGGTTGATCAGGCATTGATTAATAACTGTTTCAGGGCAAAGCTTCTTTATCCTTGAGGCAAGTTCAGCAAGAACTTCAGGCAGGTCTTCTGATATGGGCTTAGCAGCTTTTGCCCCGGGGTAATCATATCGTTCACCAAAGCTTATAACTCCATGCCCGTTTTCTGTGTTCTTGACAAAATCATCGTTCTGTTCAGCAAGGAAATCTAATAGCTGAGAGTTCAAGGTTGTATCAATGAATTCTGGTAAATAAGACATGATGTGCTTAGACTTAGGGTCGTCTGCACTTGAAGGCTTCTGTGCATCTAGCAGGAGCTGTTCATGGTCTGTTTCACAGGCTGCTGGTGGCCCTATGATAAAAGGAGGCATGGGCAGGTCAGGAGTGGATACGTTTGAGGATCTGCTGTTTTTGAAACAGTTAATATCAACTTTGAGCTCAGCAAGCTTGGTGTTTATGGAGTCAAGAGTCCTAAGGTGGCTATCATTGTCTTTCAAGTTTTTAATGGATGTTTGAATATCTTCTAAGGACTTGTGTATAGAGCTTTCGTTAGAAGTAGTATGACCCATTGGAATGCTGGAGGGGGCTGACAAATAAGAAGGGGACTTAACCTCGTGGTCACATCTCTTGCCACTTATTACAGCACAGACATTTTCTGCAAGGCCAAGCAGGGATAGTAGACCCTCTGCTAAGGTGAGTTTTTTAAGAGATGGGCAGCTCTTAACCATAGATGGCGTTATGATTGCAAATTTGTTCACATCAAGTTTTAGAATGTTACAGATGTTGAGCTTAATGATATCTACCTCTGAGCGCAGGCTCTGCGAGTGAGTCAACAGGAAGTTGTCAAGGGGGGTAGACCCTGAGAAGAAACTAAGGAGGCTGCTACAATCTTTATTTTCCTCTGATTCGTGGTATTCTGAAAGAATTATATTTTCAACATCCTTCAGTACTTCGTCAATTTCCACCATAATGGTAGGAGTCGTGGGTGCAGGTGTAGTCTGATCCGGAACCGTAGTACTTGAAGTCTGGTCCGGAACAGATTGAGAAGAGTCAGTGGGTGTATCGTTCATGGCGTAGAAGTGGTACAGACAGAGTCAAGAGCAGAGAAGGTATTGGCAGTATAATCTGGATTCTTCTTGACATAGGACGAGTATGCAGGGCTAATATAATAACATACCAAAAATAGGTCAAAATCAATATATAATAAAATAAAAAAATTAGATGTATATATATAATATATACTATATAGATAAAAGTCCAACTCGGCGCGCGCCGCGTTTTTCAGTAAATTATTGTATTGTTTGGATTGCACGTTGTAGCGCAATGCGTTACTGTGCCGCGCCGCGCACTCACGTGCGCGGCGTACTGTATATGTGTTTGAAATTTGAATTTATTTATGAATATAACATTATGTATTGATTATTTGTGGTAAATAAAATTTTTCTTTCCTAAAAAATTTTTCTTTCCTAGTACACTCATTGCATTAAGAGGAATCAGAGGAAGATCAACGGCCCAGCATCTTGAACTGCTAGACATTTCCTTCAACCTCATCCCCCAGAAGACGAGCTTGGAGGTCTCCTAGATTTGTTTATGTAAATTTTGATATTTTACTGTACTATTTTATGTTGTATATAATTTTACGGACAACCCACCGCTTCGGCGGGTAGTTGACGCACCATTCACAAGCAAGAGCTACTTTGGTATACTTGCTGTGAAGTGTCTCAGCTACATGGGTTGGGGGTCCCCCCCCCCTTTTTTTTGTCAATACCTTAAAGGACTAAAATACAAAATTCAACAATCCCTTATACCAGCAATATTGGATAGATCTTTTGGAACCGACCAAACTAGCAGAGAACTCTTTGCATTACCAGTCAAAGAAGGAGGTCTATGTGACCTTAGTTTGATGTCTGACCTAGAATACAAGTACTCATGCCAAGTAACATCAGATCTTACAGAAGCAATATACAATCAACACCCAGATTTTTATGATAATCAGGAAAAACTTGTAGAGATCAAGACCCAAATCCGAAAATCAAGGATAGAGTTTTTCAAGGAGAGAAAATATGAGGTTACAAAAGACCTGAATGAAACCCAAAAATTGCAATTAGATCTTACATCAGAGAAAGGGGCAAGTTCCTGGCTTTCATCACTCCCACTCAAATCATTCGGATTCTGTCTCAACAAGCAAGAATTCAATGACGCCCTAGCTCTTAGGCACAACTTTGGAATAAAAGATGCTGCAAGAAAATGTGTATGTGGAAGTGACAACTCAATAAATCACTCATTAATATGCAAAAGGGGTGGGTATGTAGATCTCTCCGCCACAATTCATTGAGAGATGTGTTAGCAGAGCTCTTAGAAACTGCTGGCTGTAAAGATGTTACCACTGAACCTCTCCTTATCCCTGTCAATGGGAGAGAACTTCCTGCAGGGGCCAACAAAGCAGATGGAGCTAGGTTAGATGTTAGTGCTAGGAGTGTATGGAACCCATTGGAAAGGGCATTTTTAGATGTAAGAGTATTTCATGCTCAAGCTCCTTCCAATAAGGCTCTTGGATCTCCAATGAGTATGTACACTAGCCATGAGAGACAGAAGAAAAACATGTACAACAAAAGGATTGTCGAGGTGGAACATGGAACATTTACACCAATAGTCCTATCAACAACAGGTGGAATGGGAAGAGAAGCAAATACGTTCTTCAAAAAGTTAGCTGATAGAATGTCTAGAAAATCAAGCCAAAGATAGAGTGAAGCGATGACTTTTATCAGGAAAAGAATAAGATTTGACTTATTAAGAACGACAATTATTGCTCTTAGAGGAGAAAGAGGGATAAAAAGTGGTTGTATAGTTAAAATATCAGATTTAGATATTAATATAGAGCCAACAAATTGAATTGGCTACTTTTACTACTGGGGGGGGGGGGGTGTCACGTCCGTCTATGCCCGCTTGTCTCATAGAATCCAAAAAGGACAGGACATAGGCGGACATAGACGGACATAGGCGGACATAGGCGGACATAGGCAGACATAGGCGGACATAGGCGGACATTAATGGACACCTAAATTGCTTAATAAAATGTTCAATTTTTGCTGTTATAGGGGGATCATGTTTTTTGTCCGTTCGGTACCCTATATTTTCAAAACGGACAAAAAATAGAGCGGACAAAAACGGACAAAAATGGACAAAAACGGACAAAAATGGAAATAACATTTAGATGCTTCCTCCTCCTACTTTTCCTCCTCCTCCCCCTGGGTCTTCCTGATCTTCCTCAGTCCTCTTCCTCCTCCCCTCCTCAGTCCTCCTCCTACTCCTCCTCCTCGTCCTCAGTCCTCCTCATCAGTCCTCCTCCTCCCCAGTCCTCCTCCTCCTCCTGAGTCCTCCTCCTGGGTCCTCCTCCTGGGTCCTCCTCCTCCTCTTCATCCTCCTCCTCTTCCTCCTCAGTCCTCAGTCCTCCTTAGTCCTCCTCCTCATCCTTCTCCTCAGTCCTCCATCCTCCTCCTCAGTCCTCCCCCAGTCCCCCTCCTCCTCCTCCTCCTATTCAGTCCTCCTCCTCCTCCTCCTCCTTCTCAGTCCTCCTCAGTCCTCCTCCTCCTCCTCCTCTTCCCTCTCAGTCATCCGTTTATATTCTTGAATTTTAGATGAAGGTGATCCTGTTGAACCTACTGTATTTTGATTTTGTAAGGCCTTTGACACTGTCACCCCACTGTAGTTCTTTTATCTAAATTGGAGGGGTTTGGGGTCAAAGGAAAAGTTGTAGATGTTATAAAAGACTTTTTTACAGAAAGAACTATGCGGGTGTGTGTATAAGAAGGACAATGGCTTGAGGTGAAACACGTGTTATTGGTGTTTCCCAGGGGGTCAGTATTGGTTCCTTTGCTATTTATTCTTTATAATAATGATTTTACCTGATATAGTCAAGAATAAGATTAAATACCTACGGCAGAGTAGATCGTCATAATGATCCCTTCAGATGGCCATAGTGAAGTAGAAAGCAATTGCGCATAGAAATTCATAAGTCGTCACCTACATAGAAAAAGTGTCTATTATTATTATTATTATAAAACAGGATCTTACCGACAAAAATGATTCTTAAAAATACCCTAATGCGGTAAACTGTACCCTTGAAAAAGATTTTCCCAACATCTGTTGCATGCAGCTATATCTCTAATTTCGTTCAATTCATGCAAGTTTTCCATTTGCAAATTTCTACTACTTAAATCACTTCTTAAAACCGATAACAAGTTCATTCTAGGTCTCCCCAATCTACCAATGAATAAATTATCTGATTCAATTGCAAAAGAGAGAGCCGTTTGGGCTGGGGTGTTCTCCATACTCCTGAGAATGTGTCCAAACATCTTCCACCGCTGGTGTTCAATACGCTTGGATAACTTTTCAACTTTGCACCGTTCATACAATGCTTTGTTGCTTATCATACCTTTAGGCCATTTGATGTTTAAAATGGACCTGAGGTGTCTACGATGGAGTGTGTCCATTTTCTCCATGGTTGCTTTCTTAGGACTCCAACTATTTGAGTTGTAAATCAATACAGATACAACTTGAGCATCATATAACTTCAGCTTTCTTTCAAGGGAAATTTTCTTACCGGACAACCATACTTTTCCAAAGTTCTTAAAAGCAATCTCAGCTAGGATTCTCCTTCTTTGAATGTCCTTCTCAGTGCAGAGTAAGGAACCTAGTGACTTGTTACTTCGCCATGGTTCGTTATTAGCTAATGGCTGACCGTTTGTGTCTTTATCAGATTTTTTCGCCAGGTAGAAGGTACTGAATTCAGTTTTACTTTCGTTTACTTGGAGGTTCCAGTCTTTGAGAATCTCCTTCGCTGTAGGAAGGAAAATTCTCAGTTTCTCGATGTCCTCGTCAGCAAAGTCACAATCGTCTGAATATTCCCACTCAGTAGGAAAACCTAGTTCTGATACTGGTGGGTTTGGTCTCCCGGATACAGCTCTGAGGTGGTGTAAGGCTGCTGCAAGAATAAGTGTGAATAGCTTTCCAGATAAAGTATAAACTGTCACCTTGAAAGGCTCCGAGTAAACTTTCAAACTCTTCCGACAGTGAGGAGTTAACACGAACTCTAAGGAGAGTATTCGATAGAAGGTATTGAACTAAGCGAATGTCGTCCTCCGAACAACCAGCATCCTTCAAAACATTGATGATAGTATCCCTTTTTACGGTATCAAAAGCTCTACTCATATCAATACCCATTTTGCTAAATGTCCATTTCTTCCTCATCACAACAGATATAAGCATTCTCTGAGCCCACACAATGTCAGAGCAGCTCCTACCTCTCTTGTAAGCACTCTGCCATGGCATGGTGTAGTTGTCAATTCTACTCTCAACCCGTTTTAGGGCAATTTGAGTGAGCATCTTCCTCGATCCGTTTAACAGTGTAAGTGGTCTAAGGCTTGTGAGGGGACCTTTAGGTTTACCGGGCTTCTGTAGAGGAGTCACAATACCTTGTCCTATTGAACTTATGTATCTGTTCCCACTAAATGACTCATTAATTGCCTCAGCATACTTCTCAAAAGTGATTGGAAAAAGTGTCTAGTGAAATAATTGATTTCTCCTGGAAATGAAAACTGTTTGAAGCCGACTCTATTTAAGACTTTGAGTGAGAATAGATTGTACTCAGGCATGTTTTTATGCAAATCCAATATCCATATAGGGTATGGACCTAGCTGAGGTCAGAGGTGACTTACAGCAAAAGAAATTCCCATACTAACTTTGGCTATTTTAAAACTCTGATTCAATTTCGACTTAGGCCCTTTTAAAAAATAGTTTAGTTCACATAGGCTTTAATCTCTATTTAAAGCTATCCAGCAGGAATCGAAAAGGGCTTCTGTCAAGATAGGCCCTTTTGATTAATTTTAAAGCTTTCCAGGCCTTTTAAATTTAATAATATCCAAAGAGTCACAGTACTATAGTACTATATTCAGTAGTGGACATAAGCCGATTAAAATAAAATCAAATTTCAACAGATGACTATTTTGGGACCATGTAGGTATGGTACCCCAGAATATCGAGTAGCCGTGTTGCAATTTAAAAGGGCTTAAGTCGACTGAGGCCCTTTTCATTTGTAGGTGACGAATTATCAACTTATCAAGTTGGGCATTGGAAGAGCAGATCGTTATAACGAGCCTTGCAAGCAGGGACATTCAACGTCCGACGAGTCCAGACCCGTTAATAACATAAAGGTGAGGGACTGACTTGCTTGAGTAAGTTATTAAAATTTGAATAAGATTGTAACGAGGTCTGATCGTCATCTTCTTACGCGTTTGATGTCTGTGTGAAGGTAAAATGGTGACATCCTCTGGATCAGGCAGAGGCGGTGACCCGGTGACCGACAACTAAGAATCTCTCATTCCGGGCTCCCACAGGTATCACATCTCATGGCCAAATCGATGACGAATCATTTGTGATATGATCCATATTCTAACAATCCTAACAGCCGGACAACCAAAGAGTTAAGGAGTTATCTGACAGGGTGAGGTAGGCATAACAGAAACACATGTTAGGAGGGTTGTTCTTCCAGCATCGCCAAGCAGAGTAGAGGTCTGTATCTTTAGGCTTCTTTCTGGAGTAGATGTATCCGTCCATGTCCACCAGCTGTTGAGATCCTCCATGTCCTTCGATGAATTTGGAGAAAGCAGGCAATCAGGCATGTTGAACTGAAAACGATACTCTTCATGTTTCAATATATATGTACCAGGAGTGCGGTTGTATATTAACAGCTGATCAACTCTCGTACTTGTGATTGTATGCCTCGTATCACTCCCATTGCATGCACGGCTCACGTCCTTGGATACGAGAACCAGCCCCTTCCGGACCCGGCTCACGGCCGTTATGTGAACACATGCCGAGACCTTGAACACTTCTTAATACACTTCATAATACACAGCTACTCAACCTCAGAAGCTAATCAGACGCTACCGAACATGGAATCCCTCGCTCGGGTGGTACAACGCAGTAGAGCCACGGCGTCCGGATCTGCACGGCACATGGAATGTTTAAAAGTTTAAAGTATCTCCAGAGGTTCTTAGTTGTCGGGGATATGTAATGATTGTTTCTTAGTTGTCGCAGTTGATTGGATTTCCCAAGCTAGCATGTTAATCAGTTAACTAGGTAAAATTGACAGGTCCTTAGTTTTCCGTCGGCAGAGGTCGAGTGTTAAATAATATTGATTGAAAACAAAGTTTTCTTGCCGCTCTTAGAGTCCCAGACCCGTGACATATCAATCACGTTTTGAAGTTTTATTGTAGAACCTATGGCCATTGTATCTTAATCTCATTATCAAATCTAAAGCTTCCCAATCAATACAATTTAAACTAAATCGAGTTTAATTGGAAAAACTGCAAGTGGAAACCAAATTAAGAAATGCTAAACTATTTTCAGATTCTCTCACCTCTTTTGTTCGTCGAATTCTCACAAATTTCATCGCATCTGCCGACAAACTATTCTCAATCAAACTCTTAAATAGAGTCCGCTCCAAACAGTTTTCATTTCTAGATTGACAAATTTTAGCAATGCTTCGAATAATCCTTATCACAATTGCTATCTTAGCAGGTAAGAAAAAGTCTCATTTATCTTGTTGGATGCATTAAAAGTTTTTTCCCTTAATATTTTGGATTAATCTTATTATTAATTTTCAAACAAAAATTCATCAACCCCACAGAGCCTCGAGCTTTAGTATGGTCGAGGTCAGGGTCAGGGTCAGGGTCAGAGTTAGGGTCAGGGTCAGGGTCAGGGTCAGAGTCAGGGTCAGGGTTAGGGTCAGGGTCAGGGTCAGGGTCAGGGTCAGAGTTAGGGTCAGGGTCAGGGTCAGGGTCAGGGTCAGGGTCAGGGTCAGGGTCAGAGTCAGGGTCAGGGTTAGGGTCAGGGTTTTGGTCAGGGTCAGGGTCAGGGTCAGGGTCAGGGTCAGGGTCAGGGTCAGGGTCAGGGTCAGGGTCAGGGTCAGGGTCAGGGTCAGGGTCAGGGTTAGGGTCAGGGTCAGGGTCAGGGACAAACCCCCGTACAAGGAGCCGGCTCCTTGTACGATTTTCGTCACTTGTGAACAGAGAATTTAAGGCACGTGTTATAAACACATGGAATAGCTGGTATCGGCCGTTTGGAAATCGTACAACGAGCCGGCTCAAAGTACGATGATAGAGGCTCAAAGTACGATGCTAGAGGCTCAAAGTACGATGCTAGAGGCTCAAAGTACGATGTTAGAGGCTCAAAGTACGATCGAGTCATATGACTTTTCACGTGATATTACCACGTTTTCTCGTGTCCTTGTCACGTGGGGGCTCAAAGTACGATCATGGGGCTCAAAGTACGGGGGTTTACATTGGGGGTAGGAGGACCGTACAAGGAGCCGACTCTTTGTACGATTTTCGTCACTTGTGACCAAAAACCTGACACCCCGTGGTTTGTCTTGCGCTTGTACCACGTGCCCTGGTCATGAGTCAGGGTCAGGGTCAGGGTCAGGGTCAGGGTCAGGGTCAGGGTCAGGGTCAGGGTCAGGATCAGGGTCAGGGTCAGGATCAGGGTCAGGATCAGGATCAGGGTCAGGGTCAGGATCAGGGCCAGGATCAGGGTCAGGGTCAGGGTCAGGGTCAGGATCAGGGTTAGGGTCAGGGTCAGGGTCAGGGACAAACCCCCGTACAAGGAGCCGGCTCCTTGTACGATTTTCGTCACTTGTGAACAGAGAATTTAAGGCACGTGTTATAAACACATGGAATAGCTGTCAGGGTCAGGGTCAGGGTCAGGGTCAGGATCAGGGTCAGGGTCAGGGTCAGGGTCAGGGTCAGGGTCAGGATCAGGGTCAGGGTCAGGGTCAGGGTCAGGGTCAGGGTCAGGGTCAGGGTCAGGGTCAGGGTCAGGGTCAGGGTCAGGGTCAGGGTCAGGGTCAGGGTCAGGGTCAGGGTCAGGGTCAGGGTCAGGGTTTTAGCACGAGATAAGATACCCCCCCCCTCCCCCCACGTTAACAGATATAACTCCCTCCCCCCTGTTAACAGATATATACCCCCCCCCCCCCCCCAGATATAACTCCCTCCCCACAGGAGCTGAGACCTACATACAGTATCTCACGTGTAACATGATGTACTTTCGTAAATACTCGTGTGACAAGTCCAACCTGTGTTTCTACGGGTGCAACAAGGGACATTGCTGGAGTCAGTGTAATGCTGTGGGGGCCATCACGTGGGATGGTCCCCCCGGCACGTGCCATACTGAGTATGTTTCTTCTTTACACATGTTTAAATGTATTATTATAAACTCATCGAATTTTTCATAAGTTTTATCATCAACATTAATCTCACCCTCACCCACATGATACTTAATCGACTATTGAGTGACTGCCTTATCTTATATTTGATCCTTCGAACAGCTGTTGAGCAATGAAACGCAAACATAATCTTAGCAAAATGAATATATTTCTTTTATCTTCAGCATTTAATCAGTCACATAATCTGAGAATATCAATGGTTAGTTTGAAAATGTCAAAAATTCTCATCAAAAATGTAGTAAAGTCTCAAAAAATTAATTTAGCATCTCGTAAAAATGGAATAGTTAAAAATCGGAACAAAATTAATGGCATATACTATAATAATGTGGAGTCTGCAGTAGTTCATTAAATCAAAAAGACGCAATTCAAAAATTGATAGACTGCATATATAAACAAAAAATGGACGATTTAAAAATAAAATTCGGGACACCATGAAAAATTAGCTTCCAGAAACGGAATTCACATTGTTCAGGCCAAACGGATAAAGTGTCTTCAATTTGTTAATATAAAACTGTTCTGACTTTCTAATATTATCTGGGGATGTAGAACACAAAATATCAAAATGGAAACTTTCATTGAAATCAGATCTCTCCCTCAAATTATGAACTGAAAAAAGATGTGCCCCTAAAACATTCTCGTCATCAAAATCTCTGTGGCTCTCAACATTCCCCTTACTACTCGCCTCTAAAATCTCATAATATTTACTGCGATGACCATTCACACGTTGGCTGAGGCTGGTGACTGTTTTTCCCACGTATACGTTATTAACAGTACAAAGTTTGCACGTCGCGCCGTACACAATGTTGCGTGTCTTACAGTTACCACCTTGAGTTCTGACTGAGTGTCCATTATTGGAGACCATGGAATTGCCACTAACAAGGTGACAAGTTTGGCAGGGTCTGCCTTTCTTCTTCTCACCAGGTTTGGTGCATGGGTCAGTTGTTCTTGACTCTGAACCTAAGGCAAGCTTCTTTCTCTTGAATAAAGTGTCCTTTAAGTTAGGGGCTCGCCTGGTCACCACTTGGAGTTTAGGGATCCTCTCAGGGTTCTCACTGCTCCATGTACGGCTATTTGAGATGATGTTACTGGCCTCTTTAGCCTTTTCCTTGGTTTCCTCATAGCCCGCACCGAATGTAACAATCCATGGTGTGAAAGAAGGGGGACCCTGATCCTTTGCCTTGTACTGTAAAGTTCTTGGTATCGATCTGACATCACTGATGACCTCTCTCACCATATCAGTAGGATATGAAGACCGTTCAAAAAACAACTGAAGCTCTGCCAATCTCTCATCCAGCAAGACGTCATCATTGATTATCCTTCTGTATCGAAGTGCCTGTGAGAAGACTATACTCCGGAAGGTATGTCGTGGATGGAAACTTGAGAATTCAAGATACCTGTTGGCGTCAGTAGGTTTCCTAAACAGATCTGTTGTGAGTCTCCCTCCAACAAACTTGTACTGAATGTCCAGGAACTGAGTGAACTCCGTGATTGGTTTCACTTCGTATGTAATATCTAAGCCATAGTTATCAACCATCTTACTGCGTAATGACCCTACCCATTCTTCAAAACCAATCATAGAACCTCTCCACATACCTTGGCCCGAAATATCATCCACAAACCGATCAAGGTTCTTGAGCTCCTCTGGTCTAACAACCGGGTCGTAAACCAGACTCTTTAGGACAAAGAACAAAGCAATGTTACCGCAATCCACTGAATTGATACCTCCAGTGGGTACACCGTTAACGACCTCATACCAGTTGTCTGCATTCTTCAAGACTGCCGAATCAAAACTAAGCTGTATCAGTCCCTTCAGCCAAGTCCTGAACTCCTCAGACCAATCTGGTCTACACGACTCCATAGCATCATCTAAGGCTGACATCACCAAGCTATGTTGCAGAGAATCGTATAGAGAAACAATATCAATACTGAAGCTGATCCAAGTATCGACTACTTGTCCGGAAGCTGCCAATTCCTCGAGTTTTATGAGAGCTGCAGTTGAATCTTTAACAAGATCTATACAGTAATCCCTGGCAAGAGGTCCCAACCACTTCCAAACAACAAACTTATCTGATCTTGCAGTTACTCCTCTAGAGAGATCAGTCACGAATCGACTGGGTGGAATCTTTTTCTCTCTAATTTCAGTCTCAGTCAGCTTGTGAATTTTCAGTAATGGGTAACCATACGGAATATCGGGCTTGACTAGATCTGAAGTGCTCTGTGAAAGAGTGTCCCGATCAGACTTCTGAATCAAACCAACCACACACTTAGACTGTTCACCACTTACATACTTCCGCTCCAAACCAGATGACCACAGCTCTAACAACCTCCCTCTCAAAGATCCAGTAGGATCAGTTTGCAAAGGTCTGTATCTCAAAGGGTCCTCAACTTTGGCAGTAGTGATATCCTTGATTATCTGAGGGGTGACAATGATTATCGCACCGCCCTTATCAGCCGATGTTATTGCTATTAAGCCATCCTTGAGTGACTGCTAAGTGAGTGACTGCTAAGTGAGTGACTGCTAAGGTTAAGTTTGATGCAAGTTTTGAACGAGGTACTCACTTCAGAAACTACACAATACACATCAAATAGTCAAATACGCACCACATAATATAATTTGTTGTCACATATTCAGAACGAACTGGTATTTCTATTCACTTCCTATCCTAATTTCAGAAATTAATTCTAATTACTAATTACTATTTGTTACAAATTTCAGTTTTAACCCAATTGAGTGGTGCTATTCGAGCGGGGAAGACACAACCTGTAATGTAGACTCCGACTGTTTGAAAGTGAATAAGAACAGTTGTAGCGGCGCCTGCTCTGTTGGTTAAAACGTGACGTCAGAGTGGTGACGTCATGATATGTCATATGACGTCATGAGATCAGATTCAACATTCCATTTATAATTCGTATTTGCTGTTGTTGAAATGAATAGTTCGTTTTACTTTGGTTTCTTGTCTTATCGTTCAGACATGAGACAATATTAATAAACTAAAATGCAAGGCATCCATGGCCACTGCATTGCACTGCATTATAATAGAGTTTTCAAATCTAAACCTGTCCAATAAATCAATTTAATCAAGTTTAAATCAGTTTAATCGAGTTCAAATCAAATGAACTAGAAGTGAAAATGAAATCAAGTGGTGTTGTACTGTAGCTAGATTCTCATTTTTCTTTTGTTCGCAAAACTCTCAACAATTTCATTGCATCTGTCGACATCCTATTTTTAAATAAGATTTTGAACTGACATTATAGCTCCAAACAGTTTTCATTTCTAGATTGACAAATTTAGCGATGCTTCGAATAATTCTAATCGCAATTGCTATTTTAGCAGGTAAGAAATTCGTATTTTATACTTATTGGATGCATTTAAAGTATGTAGTTTCCTATTAATTGTTCAGACTGATCCTATTATTAATTCTTGTGAGGGAGTCAGGGGGTCCGGGGGGTCAGGGTCAGGGTGTCAGGGTCAGGGTCAGGGGATCAGGGTCAGGGTCAGGGGGTCTGGGTCAGGGGGTCAGGGTCAGGGGCCAGGGTCAGGGGGTCAGGGTCAGGGTCAGGCGGTCAGGGTCAGGGTCAGGGTCAGGGTCAGGGTCAGGGTCAGGGTCAGGGTCAGGGTCAGGGTCAGGGTCAGGGTCAGGGTCAGGGTCAGGGTCAGGGTCAGGGTCAGGGTCAGGGTCAGGGTCAGGGTCAGGGTCAGGGTCAGGGTCAGGGTCAGAAAGAAGGTAAACAGATTTATCCCCGCAGTAACTGAAACACAGCAGTACGAAACCTGCAACCTCCAATTTGTGGACGACTACACGTGTAACAAAGATAACCTCTGTTACTATGGTTGCCACAAGGGGTATTGTTGGAGTCAGTGTAATGGTTTGAGCGAGATGATTTGGGATGGTCCCCCCGGCACATGTCATACTGGGTGGGGTTTTAACATTATTTTACATAAATTAATATTGTATCTTCCAATTATGACATTATATTATCGATACCATGCTTCCAACAATTTTATTACAACTTATTGCTAAATACTAATTACTCATTACTAATTACTACTAATTTCAGTTATCCGCACATTGAATGGTGTTGGTCAAGTGGGGCAGACTCTGCCTGCATGATAGACTCCGACTGTGAGAAAGTAAAGAATAACAGCTGCAGAGGAACTTGCTCTGTTGGTTAACTACGTGTAGTCAGAGTAATGGGAGGGCAACAGACGACCACATCTCTTGTACAATAGTTTAATACTGTTTAATTTAAATTAGCTGGTCGTTTCACTTTGTTATCTTGACTAATTGTAAAGCAAATTTATCAAATAACTCCCACACATTTTACTGCATCTACATCTGTTCTACATCTGTTCACATAATAGAAAGGGGGCAGATCTAGATGTAACCATTCTTATTTCTTGACCGGCAGATCTAAGTGACTTGATCCATGGATTTCAGTAGATTAACTGAAATGTTTCAGCTAGGGTATAGTTCACAATAATAATAGCTATAGAATGTCACTGCCACATACCTGCTACATACCTACAATCATAGCATAAGAATCAACGTTTCACTTAGTAAACTGACATGGTTTACCCATCGTTTTGCTTCTTAAGGGTGCAGCCACGCCCATATTTGGTCCAAATTAGGCCCAATTTAGCCAAATACCCTGAACATGCCCAAAATCCAGATTTAAGGTGCTCTACTTGTAGCTAGTGGTCACCTGAACTCGTATATGAATTTTCATCAAGATTGGACAAAAAATGACTAGCCAAAAACCATATGACCATATTTGGGCATACGCACCAAATTTGATCGATTTTGGCCCATAAATTGGTCAAATATCAATATTTTTGAATGAAACCAACTTTATATGGAAGGTAAGGCTATACTACACATTATCTATGATTATCAGCTCAGTATCTACCTAACTGTGGGTTCTGTGTTCAAATAATCGCAAAAAATGAAAAAAACTGCCCATATCTCAGTTCGCGATATTTGCAAAACTGACTTCGCTCAAAACAATAGAACTCAATAGGGTTTCAATATTTTTTCATGAAATTTTCAGAATCAACGTAGAATCGCATTTCGACCTTAAATTTTGTATTGGAATTTTGAGTTAGGCATTTAAAAAAAATTGGCGGCCAAATTCTGAATTTTGAATTGCAAATTTTGGAATTTGGCCGCCAAATTTTTAATGTATGATCATCATACATTAACATAAATCTACTATGATGTTATGATGATTATTGATTACTTCTAGTCGAGTCTAGTCTGTTTATTGATATGAGTTACAACATTATAGTACGTCATATTTACATTGAACCAGATTATTAATTAAATAAACCCTGGGATATGTTATAAAATTTAACTTATAGTCTACAGTTCGCATTATTCAGTGATGTAAATTAATTATCACGAGTACTACAAACTGCGCGTCCAAACCCAAAAACAATTTATAAATGAACTCGCTAAATTTTACAAAATTAAAAAGCGCCTTACTTACATATGATCTCACATAATATGTGAAATATGTAAGATATTATCTCACATACGTCACTTACACTCAACACTTACTTTGGGATGTCACAATCTCCTTCATAGCTACAACAACAGGTTTCTTGGGTTCATCCTCTCCTCCTCCTCCCACATACTTCCACTGTCTTACAATCCACGGCCACATGTACCTTCTGTTAATGTGGTTAAATTAGAATAAATTAGAATAACACATAATACTCACAAAACGAACAGTCATGTGATTAGTAAGATCGTGCCACGTGCAAATATAACACAGTATTGATTAAAAAGACTGACCTGAAGAGACGATACAGATAAACAACAACACCGAGTGCAGCAGTAGACACAGCAGCAACCACTACAAGTGGAGGTGAGGGGCGGGTTGGGGAAGGCTTGTTCTTTTGGGACCCAACTTCTTCTATACACCTGACAACAATTTCTTTAGTCTACATTTCTATAGTCTATACATTTTCAATCCCACGCCGACTTTAACAGCCAGCCGGATTTTTTCGGATATTTGAAGTTATTTATAGATTTGATTGTCAAAATTATATTATAGCAAACCTCCAAATATACATTGGCATCTATTTTAGAAGATTGTGGTTGTAACAATTATGGATAAAAACAGAGCTGAAATGATTTTAAAAATAACGCCACATAAAAACACAAACAAACATGTTATCAGCTTACTTATCCATGACTAGGTTGAAATTTTGTGGTTTTTCCTCAGAAGCATTCCTGCTCTTAGCAAAAGCTGCAATTATCTCATTGTTTGTAAGACCTTTGTCAGATAGAAACTTTCTTTTCGTCTCGTCAGGATGATCCCTTACAGTTTGAGAGGACAGGAACGCTGTGGCTGCTGTGATCTGAACGTTGAAATGTCAGGGAAAAAATCAATTACACAGTTTTAGAAGGAGTCCTGAACGTTGAAATGTCAGGGAAACAAAATCATTTACACAGTTTTAGAAGGAGTCTGTGATGTTATCAACACGACTTTTTACAGCAGTTTTAAAACAATTTTAATTTCATTTAATTTACAACACAAAACTTTAAATCTATAACTCATCACAGAAAATAAGGTATGAGAGAAAGAGTTTGCTAAATTTCATGATATATATTGTGAAATTTGTACCCTGAATAGTATTTAAGTGACAAACAATTTAATAAATATCAAATATTGAAAAGAGTTTAATAAAAACTACCTCTCATGCTGGAGCTTTTGTGAAAATAGCAATAACTGCGAATTCTTATAGGTTACAGGATTTTCTTCCCCTGAAAACTTACCAGATTTTCTCTGTTCATTATTATTTTTGAATAACTTTCCTGCTGCAAGATTTTCCTTTTTCTAACTCTGATTGCATGAGAATTCAGTCATTCTATAGAAACAATGGCATGGTAATTAGAATTAAACGTAACAAATAATGTAATTTTTCATCTTGGCCTCTCAGCCGGGGGATCCTTGTACTGTTCAACCACTTTTTCCAGCCTGGAGGATTTGCAATGAGCTTTGGGTGCAGCTGCCACTGTTTATAGAGACAATTTCCCTTGGAAACCTTCATTGGAACAGCATCAGCAGTAATTTATTTGTTAGTAAATCAGTAAATAGAATATTTAAGGTCGGTTCTGTATACTAGATGCTTTTAACCTGCTGTCTCAAAAAGTTGCCAGTAAGAAAGTTGCTCAATCTCATCAACATTACGAAGCCTACGTAGTAAGTTTTATGGTTCCTGTAGACAACTTCTCAGTGCCATATATTTAAAAATTTTGTTTTCCCTAAAAGACTCATAATGTGTAGCTTAAATATTATAGAGTAAGAGGCCAATTCAGAAATGTTAAATCTTGAGACTGAGTTACCTTACATAAATTATTCAAACAATATACACATAATATAGCAATGACCCTATATAAAATCAACCCTATAAGAATTCAAAAGTTAGACCTTTGAGGTCTGAGTTAGACCTTTGCCGAACGTCCATGTGTTCATGTTGGGTGACATTGAGGACAACAGAATATGATACATATCCGATCGTGTAAAAAGTGGCGGTAACATATTTGCTCAACCAAATAATGCCAAGCCGCTATGAAGATAATAGGGCAAGATAAGAAAACAACTTATACGACAGATACAACAGATTTATCAAAAATGAAAAAAAGTTGTTTGGTTGCGCTCGATTTTTGAAAGATTTTCAAACTGCGCCGCGCCGCGCTATTTAATGTTTAATTTTGTATGATGTAAAATATTTGGTGACTTGGAAATGTAGCTGGAAATTCAATTTTGTTAAACCAATAAAAACTATTAACAATTTCAATCCGATCTTTAAAAAATAATTTAAAAAATAGTTTAAAATATTAAAAAATGTTTGCTTTGTATAACATAAAAGTAACGTTTGCGTTTCCACTTAAAACACGTTGTATATATCTCTTTTGCGCGCAAAAAAGATATAACATGGAATGTATTGGTGAAAACTGAAAACTTGCTACAATGCTACATGTAGCATCGTAGCAAGTTTTCAGTTTTTACCACAAAAAGAAAATTGAGGCAAATTTGACGATTTCAAAAAGTTTTCTTTTGCATGGACCAAATAAAAATACGTTTGACTTTAAAATTAAATTTACAAAACGTCAGTTGCCTCGTTAACGGGTGATACTCGTAAAATATTTGTTTCAAATATTAGGTCCAACTCGGCGCGCGCCCTGGTAGGTTGTAAACTTACAATCGCGCGTCGCCAATGGTCATGATTGCAAAATATATAAAGTATAAAATACATTAATTTTGTTTCTTTTATGTTTATTTTACGTCTACGTCTTTGGTCTTTGCACTTAACCCTGCACCTAACTTGTACAAGAAGCTCGAAAAAGCTTGCCACACATGAATTTCATGGATTGGCTTACCAGCCGCAAGGTTGTATTACGTGGTGACCCCCACGGTCGCTTCACTATAGTGTCTTCGACGATACAGGGGGAGCCGTGCACTTCATGCGTGGCGGGTCATACAACGTATGACAACCGCAAGGTACAGTTTATTCTGACGAGAAATGCGATACCCAAAAAACTTTACTGGCTACAGGGATTATATCCAAAAGTGAAAATAGAGGCTTAGCTTTTTTTCTGAAAATAATTTTTTGTAAAATTTTCGATCTTAAAAAGTATTTCGTTATTTTTACAAGGCGAAATAGACAATATGCAATATAAATTTTAAACTATCCCAAAAAGTTTTATTTCGGGCGGAATAAATGTTTAATGCAACTTTAACTTTGCAGCTTTTTGTTCTCTGTTTCTAAAAGTTTGGAATGCATTACGCGTGCAATAAACTTAAGCGCACGCAAGCATGAGCTTGCTGTGAAGACGTAATATCCTAAATAACACGCTCAGCCAGTAAGATTGGCTGGGAGAGCTCAAACTTGCATGCTGTGAAAAAGCACATCTAGCAAGCCAGTGTGCCAGCTGGTAAGGTTTTCTGGATAGTATAACAGCAAGAAATAAGTTACGTGGCTTGCCAATCCCTGTCTGCAGCGTTATTTTCAAGCTTCCTTAACAGGAAATTTACTGGACCAACGGCAATAAAATACGAACAACGTTAATGCCAGTCCTAGGAACCTAAAGTAAAGTAAAGTAAAAACTATGGTATAATACTTTCCTTTTGTATCGTGGCCGATTATTTCCCTAATCTTTAATTGTATTTACAAATGTTAAGGAGGAGGGGACAAAATGGTTTTTAGAGAGAAAAGTCGATGAATGGATTAACGACATTGAAGATCTATCAGATATTGCTAAAAGGGAGCCTCAGGCAGCTCATTCTGCATTCAAAGCTATGGGTTATCTAAAAGATGGAATTATGTATGCCGAACAACACCTGGCATCAGTCAATACCTTAAAAGATTTGTATGAAGAGAGAGTACTTCAGTCAGAGAGGGGATCCTTTGCCCCTCTGGCCTCTGGTCTTCACAGCCTCTGGAGGTGTGGGACCGCTGTGCACTGTATTTGTAGATCGTGTCTCTGAGATGATAGCTGACCATAAAAAAGAAGCCAAGAGCCAAATCAAAAACCATATCAGAACACGATTCAGATTTGATCTGTTAAGAAGTTCTATTTGGAGACTATGAAGCTTATGTAGACAAATTCAAGACATGTGCTAGAGCAAGACCAATTAATTCTCAACGTCTAGGATCTGAATTCTATGTTAAAGAGTCCACTAAGCCTCTATTCACAAAACATGAATTACTTGTTACAGAGAACCTGTACCGATACCGTTGTTTAATGGAACTTTTTAAGATCATTAAGTCACGAGTACCATTTCGTTATACTACTTATTCAACATATCAAATAGGAAAGATAATCTGTTCATTACACCCTCTCCAACTAATCAATTTATTTATAAATCTGCATGGCTGTGGAACGAATTCCGTAAAGTTGGCCCGTTAAATTTCACCTCCACATGCGGATCTGTCAAGAATTTACTTAAACAGTCACTTCTAAGAGCTCAAAACCGGTATGGAACTGAGTGGTGTGACAGAAATTTCACTGAATTCTGATTATGAAGTGATATTCATTTGCCTGTTATTCCCACTTAAGCACTTACTGACTGACAAGCATATCTATGAATACCATGCTTGAATTTAGGTAAACAACATACAACTCATTTCCAAGTTACGCTGAGCGCAACCGCCGAATGACTCAGCAATATTGAAACGCGCGCGCATAGCATTGCGCGCCGATGCTATGCGCGCGCGTTGTCGGCCGAAACTTGGGAAGTTCCCGCTCTAATATTCAGACGACAGTGATGACTCATTAAGAGCACTAATTTCGACCACTTTCCCGGTCGAACCATACCAAATCAAACTAATTGACCCACGTGTATAGCCAATGTCCTGGCGGTGCTGAGCCGATGTAAAACTCTTCTGTAAACTCTTTTGTCTCTTGTAACTTGTTTATATTTCATATTTTAGTTATACTGTGTACTGTGTACAATAGTTATAGCGTATAGTGTGTGTAGTGTGTAGTGGTTATTTTGTTGTGACGTGTCACTTTATACTTTGCTACCAACGTCAGCCTTGACTTACCATTTATTGTAATTGGTACAGCATATATCAAAACTAAAACACTGTTTTCGATCTGACGGGTGATGGGCTCTCTCTGATGGGACACAGTTCTAGGGGGTACCCGGGGTACGAGTTAACGAATAGTGTTCGTGTCCTTCCACAATCCCCTCTCATTGTGTTTTTGACGGAGGAGAAGCCTAGTTCATCCGTCTGCATCGCTTAATCGAGTTGAAAATTTAGCCAATAACAAACTAAATTACATGTTAGACTGATAGCAGGTATAGAGTTTATAACATACAAATTCTAAATTTTTGACGGCTGACGATGGTAAGTCGCTACGTTTAATTCGGGACTTTTATAGTCTTAAGTCTTGGAGCTCAAAATGTCTCGTGCTGTGGGCCGTATAAACGGCGCACACCACCGCCCCGCCTTACTTCACGGTTGCGGGGCGGAGCTGGTGCCGTTTGTCTCGGCGTCAAGTGGCGAGTGCTTGCCCATCGAATACACGATTGAAACACTAATTATTTATTGGAATTCTACAGTTTCCAAAACGAAGTACGAAGATATATTAACTTTGAGCTTTGTTTTGGCGACTGCTTCATCGATGGGCGAGTAGGTATTTGTTGTTTAGCAGTGTTGAATATTGGAGCAATTATATAATGTATATCTCCATCATAATATAGGCTAGTGTAAAGATATATAATCAAGAATACAAACAAACGCGAACGGTATTAGTAACTCGCTAGATTATAGATGTTATTTAAACACATATGTTTACGTCAATTATTATTAAAATTAATATTCTTTTTGCTTTAATATAATTACATTGTACATGTCACATGGATTAATGGATTAGTTGAATGAAACGTGTGCTACAAATGTCTACGCCTCACGCAGAACTGCGTACCGCTCAGTACTAATTCATGCTTGAGCGGTACTGCTGTTCACAGTGGCGCGCACTCAATTTAATCACAATAAATAACGAGCGCGCGGTTTTTTGGAATCTCTCCATTATTATATTAATTAGATCGCAGTGCTCACGGCCTGTACTGAGTAAACGACAGAAATATCTTTTAAATTATTTTGCTTCTGAAATTTTGGCTCTAGTAATTAAGAAATGTGACATGTAATTGTAAGTTAACAATTAAATAGATCCTGTGCGTGGCGCCTACAGTTGACCTACGAATTTCTGAACAATTTTAAATTGTGGCTGTGTATAATGAGGCTTCTCACATAACAGCGATCGGCTTCTCTGGCTAGATCGCGGCGAGATGCGCTACTGTGCCGCGCCGAGCTGCCATGAATTGACATCGTCAATTAAGTGCACTACCTAATTTGGAAGACTTGGCTGCTTTGACGCGCAAACTGGCAATCTTGCTTCGCATCGAAGACTTACCTGGGGACCTCAGGCTATTATGTTCATAAACATAGAATAGAGATTAGGCGGAATGACAGGCTGAGCGCGGCCCAGTAAATCGAAGACGAGATCGTTGCTTTTGGAAGCAGAGCAAAATGCAACGCGAACGATCTGGAAGGGTTGACATCATCAATCAATTGTATTGTTGTATCACGTTGCGACCCCCACGGTCGTTTCACTATGTCGTTACGACGATACAGGGGGAGCCGCGCACTTCGTGCGCGGTGGGTCATACAACGTATGACAATTGTATTGCATATAATTGTATTAATTGACGATGTCAATTCATGGCAGCTCGGCGCTGCACAGTAGCGCATTTCGCTTTACCTGGGGACCTCAGCACTCAGGCTATTATGTTCATAAACGAATAGAGATTAGGCGGAATGACAGGCTGAGCGCGGCCCAGTAAATCTCGCTGTGAGAAGCCTAATTGAGTGCGCGGCGCGGCACAGTAACGCATCGCGCTACAAATAATTGTAGCACAATGCAATGCAGTTGCACTACGCCGTACTATTGGGCCGCACTCCGCGCATCAAATAATGTTTCTGATCGGTAGATGAGTACTGAGTAGATCGGCGAGCTGCGCCACTTGGCCTCGCCGCGAAGGATTGACATCGTGAATCAAATTATTGTATTATGCTGCAGATAATGCCTCTCTTCGTCATTCGTTAGTTCGTTGGATCGGCGAGATGCGCAACGCCGAGCTGAGAAGGATTGACCTCGTCAATCAACACGTAATATAATGTATAAGCTGTTTTTACAGATTTAGAGAAGAGTTAAACACGTAGATTGGACTAGTCCTAGATTTTCAAACGTAAGAAAATAAGTTTAACATTTGCAATTTTAGTCGTAAATTCTCATTAGCAAGTACCACGCAAGTTATAAATTACTTGGCGAGAGATATTTTGAACTTCGTTAAATTAAAACATGTTCAAATTTTAGTATCAATTTAAAGTAAAAATCTTAATTAAATTAACGTTAAAAACATCACAACCCAGCATCGAGAATAATTATCCCGATGTATATAATCAGCATTTAAAGTTAACTAGTTCCAGGTTTTAGGAATGCGTTATCTTAAATAATTTTCCGGAGCCTGTATCACTAAATAACTGACGAAAATTAAAAGCATAGTTAGAAACATAAATCTGCAATTGTAATTGAACATTTTATATTCCAATGAAAATACTCACAACTACAGTTAAAATTTAAATTATCAACAATATATTCGAGAAGCAAACGAATCTTTCACTTTCAGGCCTTTCCTTTAAAATTTGGGCATATCAATTCATTATTTTTCAATCCGACGACAATAAACGCATAAATCCTCACAAATCCTGTATCCATCACAAAACTTTAAACATCCTGCAAAAATAAAACAAAATCTTTGAAAATTTCTGCCAATATTGTATAAAAATCATAAATTTACACTTCAGTCCATTTTTCATTACCAAAGAGCATGAACATTTGAACCGCTGACTGGTCACAATCTGAAAAATGAAACATACTTAACAAAACATCCACTTTAAAAGCTACATATCCGTTAAGGAAGCGCGCTCCGTTACTATGAGTTCTCATCAGATGCGGGATAATGCCACACGATAAGATACGAGCTGTTCTGTATGTGTTCGCTTTGGTTCGCTGCTCCGGTAGAATGATCTCGAAAGTCTTCCATACCTTTCCCGCAGGAGATTATTACTTGCGACGTTATCTGCAACAATCATAGTCGTGAGTAACAAGTATGTTGCGGAATGCAATACATTTTTTAATTAAGTCGTTTAGTGTTATTGAGGCTCATTTGATAATTCTTTTTGATTTTTTTCTGAATAGACTTAGTGATGACAAATACAATGTTTTAATGAACAATGAAGGTAGATAGAATTGATTTTGGTAATTTCGAAATTTGGATTGATGCCCGTATTTTAGATCAGACTAAAGAGTCTGTAATTCAAGTTTAACATGTGAAAGTAAAGTTAGCATGAAGTCCTCATTAAAGTTAACATTATAAAGTTAACATAATGTCAACATAAAATTAACATAAAGTTAGCATAAAGTTAACAATATAAAGTTAACATAAAGTTAATATAAAGTTAACATGAAGTTAAAACTGACCTCCTCGTAAACATTCTCCTGATCTGTAGACTCAGAAGCGATTAGTTTCCTGATTCTGGACTGGGCTTGCATTAGGAACCTGAAATGTTATTTCAATCACTCTCTGGAGATTTTCTGTAATTTTCTGCGCTTTCTGCGGCTTTCGGTCGAATCAAACTCGCAGATGGAAAATGAGCAGCCACATTTCAGATTCGCAATTCTAATTGCCGGAGATAAAGACATCAGGGTTCTATTATTAGCCCTACTAATAGCAGGGCCAGCTTGTTCGCTTACAATAGAGAGGACAGAACAAGTAGAGATAAAGACCTGGAACCTAGGTATGAACCTGAACCCTGCAGATGGGCACATCATGGACTACACCAGAGGCTGGGTGGACGATGTCTTCATCGGGACTTACGCTGAGGCCCTGACAAAAGATTACCTGAACAGACTGGTCTGGAGACAGCCAGTGAGTTACATAGCGATAGTTAGACACCAGGGAGGGGAGGTGGACGCAGTGAAAGTGTTCCGGTTTAAGGAGGGTGGAAGGTCCCTGCTTTCTAGGTTCCAGGATATGGATCCAGGGAGGCAGGGAGGGAGGTGGTTACTGAGGGAGGTCCTCTTCAGGAGAGTGTCAGTGCTAACGCTCAGAACATGATCCTGTATTTTCAGTGAGAGGAGACCTGGCTTTTAACTGGGTCTATACTGACAATGGACACAGAATAGTTCTAACAGGTGGCAATCTTTCTCCGTCAGGGGTAAACGACGACAACACACACGGACTGGGAAATCATTTTGGCTGCAACCCTCTAACCGGTAAAGAAATCCACTTCGTGTGGCCTCACGAGATTTCAAACATACAGAATTGCCCCTACCCCTCATGTAATTTCCATACCAATCCGATTCTCGTGCAAGGTACTGACCATAGAGACGTGAGGATGTTTAAGAGTGGACCAGTTTATGGAAATTACGCTATTTATATTTCACAAGATGCGACTACTTTTCCTGGTCCAGGCTACAAGCTGCAACCGAAGGTTAACGTCGAGCAGAGGTTCATATCATTTGAAACTGAAGAAGGAGATATTTCAGTGGCTTAATTCAATGAACTTCGGTTTTTTTTCGATGACTTTCGGATCAACAAGTCCATTATTTGTTATTCCAAAATTGATAAAAGGATAAACTGTGGGGGTAGGGGAGGGGAGGGGGGACTGGGCCAATAAATTTAAGTGCAGCATTGAGCAAAGTTATTTGTTGTTTTATACTTATGAAATGTAATGTAAAAGCGCCCGTATTTAACATACTTTTTATTCAGTATTCAGATTTTTATCAGAATGTTATACAGTTATAGAGATGACAGCACAGAGATGACTCTCTTGCGGATAGACTCTCCAAATTCAATATAAAATCTGGAAGATACTCTAGATAATAAGATAATAAGATAATAAGATAATAAGATAATAAGATAATAAGATAATAAGATAATAAGATAATGAGGAAGCTTACCTGACACCGTCGTAGTGGCCCATGTAGCTGAGGAAGGGGGGACCGCATATCTTGGGGGCTACGGGGGGTTTAGCGATAGGAACAACAACCACTACTCCAGAGGAGGTACCTGGAACACGTGACTATTAGAATCACGTGACTATTAGAATCACGTGACGACTGACGTGATATAAATAAATTAAGACAGTGAAATTGAAAACTTCTTCACTTTCAACACCACGCACGTGACCTCATCAAGAAACCACGTGACGTCACCACAACACCACGACGTCACAACAAATACCACGTGACGTCACAACAAATACCACGTGACGTCACAACAAATACCACGTGACCTCATCAAGAAACCACGTGACGTTACCCCAGTACCCACCTATCCAGAGAGCACCGGTAGAGGAGGAAGCTAGGAGTGCTGTTACTCTCACATTCTCCGCTCTCCGCCTTCTGGACGAGTTATGCGAACCTGGAGATATGTGAATTATGTGACCCCGGAAATAAGATAAGAAGATAGAGGGAGATTATATAGAGATTATATAGAGATTAGATAAAGGGGAATTAGTTATCTCGCGCTAGCAACATAATTGATAATCATGACAGTTCACATGATACCAAACACAGAACCCCACTATTTTAGTAAAGTTGCTGAGTTAACTAGTTTAGTCTCTACACTCACCAGTAAAGAGATGATGAACAACAGTGCTGATATCATAATCCTCCAAATGCTCCCCAGTTTTAGCGTGGAACAGTCTGATTACCGGACTGTTCCGAATAGCTAGCCATACCCCACTCCCACTATTAACCATCTTGTAGACTTGAGCTGATGTGTTGTTGTGTGTCGAGAACAGGTGCTGAAATGAGAACACGCGACGTCAAATATTTATCAAGTGACGTCATCAATTTATCAAGTGACATCATCAGTTTATCATGTGATTTTACCATAACATCGGTTCATTTCTGCCGTTTTCTGACAAAAGTGCTTAAGTAACATTTTGGAAATTTCGGGTTTTTTGGTCTAACTTTTGTTTTTGGGTCAAGAACTATCCCTGAGGACCATTGGATACATTCGCCGACCCCCCAAAACCCCCTTTTTGGAACCCCCTAAAATGCAAAGAATGGTAATTTTTCTGAGAAAAGTGCTTAAGTAACATTTTGGAAAACGGGTGCAGTTTATTTCAAAAATGGTGCCATTTCGGGAACTGAAAACGGTGGCATTGTTTTCTACGTCCAAAACTGGCCTAGTGACGGCAATTTGATGATCGTGGGTCTTTTGGCCTGGGAAAAAACAATTTATGTCACTTAAGCACTTTTGTGAAAACGGGCTCGTTTTCTCACAAAAGTGCCTAAGTGCCATTATACGTTTAATTAAATGTTGATTCTGCCAACTGAAACTATATAATCGGTACTAACAAATCTAAATTTTCACGGCGGATCGATTGGTGATGGTCATAAACTTCAGAAACGCTAGCTTCGCCGTCAAAATTGCCGATTTGTCAAAGCAGAACGTTTCAAAATATACGTCATAATTTGCTCTAAAATTTTTTATTCTCTTATAAGTTGAGACTGGCGGGATTATCGACAGGCAAGGGAACATTACCAAAGAGATAGAAGCGATTTGCTTCACTGCTCCTTTTCTGTTGATATGGAGAAAGTTCTTTTACTACCACACATGCCGGAGTACGAGGAGGCGATTTTTTAAAGACGCCTTGTCACATTTAACGAGACCTTCGCGAGGCTGGGGTCAGACGGAGCTCCTTTAGCGATTCTTTGGAATGAGTCAATCGCAGGAAGGAAAGATGAGAATGTGTCCTCGACTTGGATAAGGGCAATAAAACATTTTGCCAGTTGGCAAGATTGGTGGTAGCAGATTTGGGCAGACAATTGTTCTGCTCAAAACAAGTGTTGGACTTTATTTACTGCCCTATGTTCAATTATCAACAGCCCAGATGTTGACCTGGACAAGATAACGGTCAAGTATCTAGAGCCAGTGCACACCTTTATGAGTGCAGACTCATTCCACCATAAAGTGGAGTTGTCCATTAAACAATCAGGTCAACTTCATGATTATAAGGACTTTGTTCAGGCAGTTGAACAGGTGGGTACTGCGATAAGCATGAACTGCACAGACTTTGAAACGTGGCCAAGGTCCTATGGAACAAGCAACTAAAAAACTAAAGATGTTAAAGTTGTAAGTTTCCAGCGTGGGTCTGTAGAAATGGAATGGAAAACAAATCATGACGAGGTTTCCTTTCATTTCAATCCATTTCTCAGACAAAAAGACGAGAGACTCATTTCCATAGGTTGAAAAATAGCTTTCGCCCAGGAAGAGCCCCGGGGGATAGCTACTCCCAAAAAACAAGACATTATATACGTAAACTGTGCAGGCTTATGGCCCCGAGTAGTAGGGTATTCTGGATGAACTTACCTGATAGTACAGATATAACAGATCTTAATCGAGTGTTTGACTAAAAATCATCTATTTCTTGTATTATTTACCATTTATTTATGTACAACAATTATGTTACATTTTTATACGCTTGTTTTTCTTTGCCTCGCGTTACGATATCAATAATTCGCAAATCATTGGTCTTTATGAAGAAAGCCTCATCTGAGTTCTTAATTTAATTTCTAAAGAAAGAAAATTATTTATTATTATCCCGTACTTTCACCAATCAACTCTTCGTTGAAATGCTGGCAGAATTCCGACTATTTTTTAATCCGCTGGGGAGAAGGGAGTGTTTTCGTGTTCTTAAACCACCACCAATCAATTTGTCGTAAAATTTTAGGTCAGAATGATCGCAGATAAAGTTCCCACTAATGTGGCTGTACTTAAGCACTTTTCTCAGAAAACGAAATTTTTAAATTTTCTATTTCAGCGTGTCCCCTATTTACAACCAATGTTTCATCACAACAGTTTTAGGCTAATTTTTCGTTTTACTTTCAAAGACCAATGGTTTGAACGGGTCATTTTCATCAGAACATGGAGCTTTTGCTGATGTGGCTGTACTTAAGCACTTTTCTCAGAAAAGGAATTTTCAAATTTTCTATTTCAGCGTGTCCCCTATTTACAACCAATGTTTCATCACAACAGTTTTAGGCTAATTTTTCGTTTTACTTTCGATGACCAATGGTTTGAACGGGTCATTTTCATCAGAACATGTAGTATTTGCCGATGTGACTGTACTTAAGCACTTTTCTAAGAAATTCAAACTATAATTTGTGATTTTGAGGCACTTTCCGATAAGTTAGGATGATGAAACCTTGTCAGAAGTTTCAAAAGTCGACAAAGTACCTTAGAAACATAGTGGGTGCAGTTTAAATTGGACAGTAGCTAGCCCAGAGCAATTACAGAATTGAAATCTTTAAAGTCAATTTGCACAAAATGAACCTTGTGTTACTTAAGCACTTTTGTCAGAAAACGGCAGAATTTGACCTAACTATTAGCTGTTTTTGCGCTTCTTTCTATTACCGAAGAGGTGCAAACTGCAATTTTTTGGGGTTTTGGGAGTATCAATGTTCTGGAAGAAGACTTTATCTGGAGATATGTCGACTTCTTTTTAAGAACCTTAAAAGTTTAGGTAAATTTGGCAAGTATTATTGATGAATCTATATGCTTATATGCAATTTATAAGTAAGGGTCATACAATAAAACTCGTTTGATAACAGAATAATCAGCAGAAACTATTGTCATTTTTATCACAAAAATTGATTTTCTTCCACCCTATCACCGCCATCTAAACAGTTATAAACTCCCAAACATCACCTTTGATAACATCGACCCCACACTCAGCATCAACCCTCCAGAAGTACTTCACCCCAACTTCCAACTTCTTCTTCAGATACACAATGTTCCCACCTGCCAGCACTGTCCCAATAAACTCTACACTCGCATAATCAGCAGCAAGTACTCCAGCTTTAGTAGTTCCAAGATACACGTGGTGTGTTTCGCACGTGTGCGCGTTTAGCCACATCAGCGCGTCCCGGTGGGAAGCCAACACGTGGTGTGCATGTTGGGGCGGTACTGGGGAGGAAGCCTTGTAAAGCTGTCTCCCTGGTATCCAGTAAGTAGTGAGGTTTGTACTGTAAGGGTACGGTCCTGCTGTGATATTCTCGTGGAGTGGTCTAAAATCATAGTTATCAGGGTCATGAAGCAGGGACTTTATATCAGTGTTCACGATGTTTCCTGTCACATTAGATCCGTGCAGTGGCCAGACACTTATAGGCCTCACTTTGCTACCGTTCTTGAAGACTTTGCCCCCGTTTGCTGAGTCAGCTAGATTTCCTACAACTGTGGAGTGATTGTTGATCTCGATAGGGTTTGCTCTAACAGTCTTCCACACGCAAAGTGAACACTCTGGAAATGTCCTTGTGTCCCCGTCAAGTGAATCAAATGCCAGATTATCAAGCACAACATGATAGTCGCCTTTAACTTGAGCTCCACCGGAACCAACCCTGAACAGGACATTCTGGGACAGGGTACCGTGATCGCCAACCCTAGGAGGCTGACCATCAAACCTGACCCCCCACTCAGAAGAGTCGTGCACCCAGTTCCGTGCAACTGTCGTCTGACTTTGCCAGTTTTTAGTGACCTGTATCCCGGCTCCATCATTTGCCTGGTGGCCCCAGCACTGTCCCACCACTCTATTCAGAGTAGCATTAGACTGCAGCCCAGGTCTGAGTCCGTGACTCTCACCGTTGTACCTGAACGTGTTCCTGATGTAAGTGTCGTGGATACTGAAGATTTGTGTTGTACCGTGTCCTCCTTCACCAACTAAACTGTTGGCAGATGTCCAGTCGTTATACTCGAACAAGTTGTTCTCCAGAGTGACACGTGAACCCTCGTAGGATAGAGCAGGACCGTCAGCTCCGTGGAATGTGTTGTTAAAGAATGTGAAGCTTCCCCAAATATCAGTCGGTTTGTATCTTCCTAGCCTTCCTCGCCTTCCCATTAGGTTCGTGCATTCTGTGACAGATTTTTCCAGTAGCATTCTTTTAGAGGCACAAGGGTATAAGAAGTTAAGGGAGTCAAATCTTATTTGATCAATGTAAGTGTCTGTTAAAGTGGATGTTCCTTTTAAAGTCGTACCGAAAAAGTCCAAGTTCTTCAGAACAACGTGCTGGCTATCTGACAAGGTCAGGGCGTACGTCTGTACCTTACCTCGTAGTTTAGTTCCGGACGAGAAATTCTTACCTTTTGGAGGTATGAAATGAAGCATGCTGGTGTCTTTGTCAAAGAACCATTCTTCGGGTACATCAAGGAGATCAAGCTTGCTCTCTATGAAATACTGACTATGTTTCGGTTGGAAATGGATCTTGCCAAACGTGTCGTGATAGGCAAAGAAGTTTTGCCCAGGAGTATGCAATTCCACTGGAGCGACAAAAGTATTCCAAGATCCGATGTTCATCACGGCCATCGCTCCTGTCATATTCTTGTCACTGTCTTTGAGGCTGTCTCCACGGTTTATTATCTTTCCTCTAATAGAACCGGAGGAGGTTTTTGCCCAATGGTTCCGTCCGTCAAAGACAGTTTTATCAGACCAGTTTGCGTTAGGCCACCTAGCATTAGTCATCATTAGATCGTCAAAGAAGAGCTGCCAAATGGTTTGATTTATCTTCCCGAAGTAAATCTCGCCATCCCTCTGCCATTCGCCGTTTTCAGGAGAAATCTCGACAGTGCCATCAAGAGTGGGCCTCTCTTTACCGTATCCTCGAATAACAATGGGTTTCTCAGCAGTCCCTTTTAATCCGGAGAGTACAATCTCCTCTCGGTATATTCCCTCGCGAATATGACATTCGTCCCCAGGATTCTTTAGCGATCCAACACAGTCCGTCACATTCTCAAATGGTTTTGACCACGAACCATCTCTTGCACTTGACACATTTCTGTTGGAATCTGCATAGAAAATCGCTGTAGAGGCAGAATTAATTGCCAGAACGATTATGAAAGCGTTGAGAAATATCATTGCTCTAACACGTCGCTATTCTAATTTAAAAACGGTCTAAGTGCCCTTAAGTTTTATAAACGGGTTTTTATAAGAGAACAACAGGATTGGTTTAGTATGCCAGGTGAAAAGTTGCTGAATTTAACGCGTTTCTGAGATATTTAGAGCGAAAGATTAATATTATCACGGTGCTACTTTTCTTTTATAAATCGAGGGTGTTTTCTTATGAGAATTCAATTTAACGCGTTTCTGAGATATTTAGAGCGAAAGATTAATATTATCACTGTGCTACTTTTCTTTTGTAAATCGAGGGTGTTTTCTTATGAGAATTCAATTTAACGCGTTTCTGAGATATTTAGAGCGAAAGATTAATATTATCACAGTGCTACTTTTCTTTTGTAAATCAAGGGTGTTTTCTTATGAGAATTCAATTTGTTTCAACCAACTCCCCAATTAGAAGAGATAAGGAAAGGAACAAGATTGTTATGAGACAGACGCGAGGGAAATGGAACATTCATCTGAGTAACAATTGGGAACAATTACAACTTAACTCAATTTGTGAGTTTTCTAGTAGCCAAGATTGTTGAATACAGAGTTAAATTAGATTGTGGGTGGAATTTACCGCTTTTTTCGGGAGAGTGTTGGGACTTCCCGAAAAAAGTTGGAAACTGAAATGGTAACGTTACAAAAGACATGATAAATTACAATAATAAGAGAATACGAGATAAAACTCACCTCTACGGTGACGTTTTCAGGTGATATAACGAAGATTTGACATCCGCAACTGCACCACATTTGTCCCCCAATAGGAAGCATTACACAGATTGAGTTGTTTCCTAACTTCTTGGTTAACGGGTCATTATCACACCACTCGTTTACAGACACTGTAATTTAATTAATTAATTAACTAACTTAATTATTCAAAGTATTAATTAGTTGAATAAATGGGGTTCATAATATCAGGCTACCAATTTAAAACTGTTTAATATCAGTCAAGCTTAACGAGTAACATTATACGGACATGTACACGAATAATCGTAATTGCTTGGCATTGAGAATAATGATGATTGAAAACAGGACGAGATAAATCAGGAAGAGTTCAGGGAAGTATTCTTCACAGCTAACGTTAAACTTACTATTACCGGTTCCAATATTTGGTTCTAGAACAGAGGTTTGTTCAACATAAACAAAATAATATTAATAAACTTGTTACTCATGCAGACTACCATCTTTTAATAATCAGCACAGAAAATTGGTAATTGGTTAATTATAATTAAGTGATTAATTAATAACCAACCGTCTCTAGTGAAGACGTGAATGTAACCCTCAGAAGTTCCGACAAACACCGAATCATCAATGTGAGATATACAGATTACCGGACCTGCAATGGGTTTTAAAATAGAACATTTTCAAATCGTAGATCCAAAAATAACCTTAAATATTGAAAAATAATTCGGCTATTTGAGGGTGCGGGAGTCAGTGGCGCAACGAAAGGCCCTGCTGACCCCGCTGTGCAGGGGGGCGCCGTATTAGGGGGGCGCCAAATCGTCGTTTGAATGTGGGACAATTTCGAAAACTTAACTAAAGTACTAGCAAAACTGCGCGTTTTGCTCTAGATACACACTTTTTTAGAGATTTTACCGGCGTATTCTTTAAAATCACCTAATTTTTGTTTAATTTTAGGGAGGGACACCAAAAGGGGAGGGGGCGCCAACAGGGGGGCGCTTTTTTCGGCAGGGGGGCGCCAACAGGCAACGTTACGCCACTGGCGGGAGTAGACTAGCTTTCGCACAATGATCAGGTTACTGGGCTGACAATTTGTTAACTCACAACATTGAATAACAAGCTGTTTACATTATAACGTGGCAGCTCTTGGGATCGAGTTCCGACCTATGGTTTTTAATAAAAAAGTAATAAAATGTATTAGTGTCAGACTCACCTCCATCCAATTCAAGTTCTAGAAGAGTTGAGCTAGGATCCGACATCATGTACACCAGCAACCTGAAACAAATCATCCTTACTTGGAAAGTGCGTACGTGAGATTGAACCTCTTAACAATGTGTTAAGATTTGATATGATAGCATATTATGTACATATTATCCAACGAGTAAGTATATATTGGGAAACTAGCTGACACAAGAAATGTCAGACCACCCGCACATGGGAAGCATGCAGTATTAAGCCGCGCGCCGATTAGACGTATCCTCTTTTGCAACATCGCAGTCGTTGCGCGCTCCATTTTGCACAACCTAAATGTGTGACCGAATAGCAAACCTTTCCTTCAACACCAGGTCACGAAATTAGATTTCAGTGAGGGGCTATTCTGGGTATATGACTTTGCTGCACTCGATACTGAATAATGACATTTCTCCGCTACTGGACATAATACTTTTCGTGAGAAAATTTTTTCCGTGAAATGTAATCCCATCTCCCGTTTACGGCGTACACCCGCAAGCCGCATACAGCACAGAATTAACGGCTAAACTCTAAAGATTATTTAACTAACCAACTTATGACAATTACCCTAATTATAATAATTATCAACACATAATTAACGAAATAATTACCTGGCGTCCTGAGTCCCGACCCAAAGGGTGTTTTCTCTTCCCGGCACCATGTGACAGCACAGTACTTGACTACCTTTTAGGGGTATATCCAGCGCAATGTGTGGGGTTGGTTCAGCAAGTCGTAACACCACTATCTGGATACAAGTACCGAGTTAGGGTGAATATAGTGCACCGCTAATTCGGGTATAATGTAATAAACCTGTACTACTGCACTATTCAATCTGCACACTTATAACCAGACATTTTGCTGGAAATATTATATTACAGATTGCTAGTACAGTGTACTGAAATAAAGTATGTTATTTCTAGGGTTAAGATTACAATGATTATCAGATAAGGAAGGGTTTACCTCGCCGTTACCGTTCTGTCCGTGTCCACAGAGGAACACATCAGTTGATTTCAACTCAAACTCTGCTCCCTCCTAAAGGGTGGTGGTTGAATTGTTGGGAATGAAGCGTTATTGGTATTTGAGGAACTTGATTTGGCTATGGTATTTGCTTAATTATTGAATTGGTACATGGTTCAAAATATTTCTGCAGACAGACAGTTTAAGAAAACCATTGAAAAGTGTACCGTAGATCTTCTTGGATTACACAACCAAAATAATGGACAAAAAATCATATAAATCATTAATTAAGCTTTTAAGACTAATTATAGTCTTACTTCATTGATATTCTCGTAAGTGTCTTGTTCAAGCCAGTCATCGGAAGCCAGTGAAATTTGGGATTGTGACACTTTTGGTCCCCGGTTTATGGACCTTTTGCTTGACTCTCTTCTGATCACTTTAGTTCTGAAATAGCACAATATTTATAAACAATATATTTACGCAACTGATTTTAAGTTCAGATGCACAATTAATATTATTTATCGAGAGGAAACGAAGGCTCAGTAAATGATTTTGGATAATAAAAATTGTAAATTTTTAACAATTATAGTGAGAATCTCAAACCCGAGTTTTTTAAACATTATTATTTTATTTATTGATTTTTTTCAAACCTGAGTTTTTGTGTGGCACATTCAAAGTTCTCGTAAAGACTGTCGGTAACTGTATGATTCTGTTCAGAAACTATCTCTGATGTTGATACCTGTATTTGTGGTAGTGCCTGCAATATGTTCACTGTTTAGAATTTCAAGAAGATTTCACTAACGTTCCATTAATGTAACTTGATTAAAGAAGTCAGTACTCAGCCACCATAATAATATGTAAATTGCAGTGACCTCTACAATTGGTTAATGATTGAAAAGCACATACCACAGGCGTTCCATCAAGTGAGGTATTTGAAGGTGTCCCTCCCGAGTAGGAAGATGTGAAACTGTCCGGACCGGACGGTTTTAAGGAAACCAGGTTTAGCTGACTATCATATCTGAAATATAGGGCAAGTTGCCAAGTTAGTAAACAGATCAGTCTGGAAAACTATACTCATGAACTTGATAAAGTGATAAGAATTGGGAAACATAAAATATCAAATATGCAAAAAGGAGCTGAAATTGAAATAAAAAACAAAGAAATTAATGAAACAAAAGAAAAACAAAAGAAAAACAAAGAAAAATGAAGAATCTGACATGTTAGGGGTATCATCCTCATCCTCACTGTCCAGCTCCAACAAGGACTCATCAACAAAGTCTGGTAACACAGCGTCAACAACTGGGTTCCCAACCGGTGGTTCCATTGTTACAGGCCTGAGGTTCAAAATGAGGTTCAAACTGAGGTTTTAAGCGAGGTTTCAGTTGAGGTTTAAAATGAGGTAAACATCATTTGTTTATAAAATTACTAATACAAGTTCTGTTTAACACGGACAGCAATTGAAGCTTCTTTTTGAAGACTTGAATTGTATCTAATTTACCGGGAACTCTACGGTATAATTCGATAGAACTCTAAATTACAAACTTTCCAACTTATCAACTACTCACCCTGTTATTAGACTAGTTATTGTATCAGTATAGATTTGTCCGTATTTGTCAACCAGTAAAGGACCTCCTTGGGTTGATTCGGCTGCTCTGGGGAGACTTTCTCTGCCCGGCTGAAATGAAGAAAGCTTATATATAAGCTTTCTTGATCAGCTGAGAAGAAGTATATATACTTCTTCTCAGCTGATCAAAATTATCAAAACGATAACTATTTAAAACGATAACTATTTAAAACATAACTATTTAAACATAACTATTTAAACGATAACTATTTAAACATATTATTTCTATATGATATTCTATTTATAACAGCCAAATTGCATATGCTTTAAAAAACAATAGACAGTTTTTGGGAGTTCCAAATAGTTTCTGATTATTCTGATTTCTTGCGACAAATGATACTGCACTGTTAGGATAAAAGTAACAACTCCTTATTCATGCTGACAAAATTGGTAAATATGTGAGAAAACTGTCTCATAAAATTTAGGGGGGGGGGGGGGTCAAAAAATGAGGTTGACCCCCCTCCCCCCCCCCCCCCCCCCCCCAATTTATTAATCAAAATTGGCTAAACGACAACAAATTGTTTAAATACTAGACTAAAATTAGAATCAAAATCTATATATACACCAATACTCGATCTGCTATTCAATAAACTTAAAACATCTTTAACAACTTTTAAAAAACACTCACCGCAATAAAACTAGAAATTTCCCGGCTGTCCGTCAACTCCAGGTTAAAACTTTCATCGGGAAACTCGGCCAAGTTGAGGTGTTCAAATCGGGATAAAGGAGATACAATAGCTCCTGCTGGAAGGTCCTTGAGATCTTCTGGGATGTTCTCTGGTATTCCCAGCGCGAAGGGTTCTGTTGAGGATTCTAGGTCGAAGTCTGAGTCCTGGGTTGTTGAGCTGTGTTCGAGAGATGGTTCACTTTCTTCCTGATGAAATTAAAATTTCATGGTTACATGTACATTTCCAAGTCTTCAGTGAGTGCTGACATAAACCGCTATTGAAATGATTAATTTCACCTATATCTCATACAAGTACTAATTTCCTCGCACCTTCAATTCTTCAGAATATTCTTTTATCACAACATAAATTAAACATAATTTCTATATCAGACGAAAGATATTTAACACCAAATCATAAAAGATATAATACCGGACTAACGTTAGTCTGTAATATTTCACTTGAACTGCTTAGCAGGTTCTCATCTACACTCATACTACGCATTAGCTTTCTCTTCTCTTCCTGGAGGAGTGTGAGGTGTCAGCCACGAGACAATAGTTTGGGGATTAGTTTGGGGATTAGTTTGGGGATTAGTTTGGGGAATAGTTTGGGGATTAGTTTGGGGATTAGTTTGGGGATTAGTTTGGGGAATAGTTTGGGGATTAGTTTGGGGATTAGTTTGGGGATTAGTTTGGGGATTAGTTTGGGGAATAGTTTGGGGATTAGTTTGGGGATTAGTTTGGGGATTAGTTTGGGGATTAGTTTGGGGAATAGTTTGGGGATTAGTTTGGGGAATAGTTTGGGGATTAGTTTGGGGATTAGTTTGGGGATTAGTTTGGGGATTAGTTTGGGGATTAGTTTGGGGATTAGTTTGGGGAATAGTTTGGGGATTAGTTTGGGGATTAGTTTGGGGATTAGTTTGGGGATTAGTTTGGGGATTACTTTGGGGAATAGTTTGGGGAATTATAGTTTGGGGATTAGTAAAAAACAACCGCAGGAAACGTGGCAAGTATTAGATGTTAGCGGTATTAACGCTAGCTCATGAGTGAAGTAAATAGTAGTGGTAAGTGGAGTTTAAGTTTTCAGTGAGAAAACCCAGTCGGGATCATAACTTCCCTCCCACGAGAAAACCACCGTTACATGGCTGTAACCCCGTTACCATGGTAACGGTAATGGGTAATCCCTGGTAACAGACGGACACTAGTACTTACCCTGAGCATGCTTATCTCGTATGGTGTTTCGTATAGATCCTCTGTAGTCTCTCTATCGTCCATGTTGAACTCTTTCGGTACACTTTCTATCATTTCTAGTAAAAATGAGATTGTTAGCTTGACAATCAAGTCTAAATTCTCAAATTTTATTATTCGCTTCAAGTTTTACCATCAGTAAAGGATCACGGTAAGTAGTTCTTTTCTCATTCTTTGAAATTGCGGCTAACTTAAAACTGAAAATTAAAAGCCCTTTTACTTCTAGCACTGTACCTATGATAGATTGTCGCTCGTTTTTCCGTTGTACAGCCAGGTTATTCTGCCGTAGAGGATGGTTACCTAGCAAGTTTCTGTTACAATTCATCACTTTCTGATTAATCAATACAAAAGTTGGGAGCAGATCTAATTATTAACCCAGATGATCTATTGTTTAAAGATTGTGTAGGGAGTACCAAAGCGGAACACTAAGGGCACGTGACAGTGGGGCACGTGACTACTCTATTTAGAACGGGTGACAAATAAGTAAGTGATTTGACAGCTGCTACATTTAAATCTGGTGACATATTATGTCACTTAAAACTGTTCCCACCCACGATTGCGGAATTCACAGTACACTAATACTATTAGTACCGATGAATAGTGAAATGTATTCATTAATCTAGTATGATCTACATATCATTATTATCTGCTAATACCTACTTACTTAAATTCTTTAATACTATGAATACAATTTATTTAAATTTATTCAACAAAAGCTGCATAGTTCACATACCAGGAAGAGGAGGAGGAGCAGCTCCGTTCTCATCAACCTGCCCATTATTCTGCTCCTGTGCGCGCAGCATCACCACAGCGCTGTCGTAGGACTGGGAGCGCGCGGCGGGGGATGGTGGTGTGCGCAGGGAGGGAGGTATTGAAGAGGGTAGGGTTGAGCTGGTGCCATTAATAGCAAACGGTGATCTAAATGTAGATATTATGCTTAATAATGTACGGAGAAAGATATAATTGTGTTAATTTTTTTCAGAAATTAAACAAGTAGAGTGAGACTTATTTTAACTCTATAGTCACTTAATTGATTAATCACTTAATTGATTAATCACTTAATTGATTAATCACTTAATTGGTTAATCACTTAATTGATTAATCACTTAATTGATTAATTACTTAATTGATTAATCACTTAATTGATTTGTTGATTAATCACTTAATTGATTAATCATTTAATTGGTTAATCACTTAATTGATTAACCACCTAATTGATAAATCACTTAATTGTTTAATCACTTAATTGGTTAATGACCGACAGCACACTGACCTGGATTGAGGAGCCATGATGGAAGGAACAGCAGGGACCTGTCTCAGTGGAGGTGGTTCTAGGCTGGAAGGTTGAGGTTGCGAGGGTTGAGGCTGTGAGGTTGGAGGTTGTGACTGTGGGGGGAGTGTGGGGGTGAGGTTCTCGTCGTAAACTGGGGTGTCTTGCACTGGAGCCGCACCTGTGTTCAGAGATAAAGAGGTTAGATATGAGATCTCATAATGATATTGTTATGTGATAAAATGTTTGAAGAGTAAGATAATGAGTAAGATAGGAGAGGATAATAGATAACAATGTGTGGTTCACAGAGAGGAATAGATAAGAAACTTTGGAATGGGAGGGACAGCTAAAGATTTAACAAGAATGACAGATAACAAATCTACACAATAATATGTAGTATTTTATCTATTAATTTACCAGGAGGAAGTATCGGAATCTCGTCCGCCTCCTTCACGTTAGCGTACGACTCGTACTTATCTCCGCAGCTCATTATTCTGTACAATATGTCCTGTGTAACAGGACATGTGAAGTCTGCGTTTACTGCTGCACATTCCACCTTGTGAATTAGTTATTGGTTAACTAATAATAATAATATGACTGATTCTCAGGAATTCGTATATTTTTAAGGTATTATATGTTTTAATTATCAAACGAATGTGTGGATGGCCATGCATTTTATGGGGATGCCATAAAGAACAAGGTGCAACTGATGATAAGTGATAACCAAACCATATTTACAAATAATAATACCGATTATCACTGTGTAATTATGCTGTCACCGCCTAGCCGTGCCCAGTGACAAAGCACGGTTTAAGGCCACCTAGGGTATGTAGATTCTCTCTACTCCTAAGAATCTAATAAGGCTTAAATCCGTCTGGATTTGGGCATATTGCATATTCTAAAACTCTAAAAGGATTAAGGTTTAATGCAGAATATTTGTCTTAGTCTTTATATAAATTTGATTAGGACCCACATTCTCACGACAGGGCCAATATTGCCACGCACCGTTTTTATTGTAAACAATAAAGGTACACTTAACAAGCCGGTGGGCAGCGTGTAGAGTGAAAATGAGAAATACAGTAGAACCTCAATTTACTGCGGAGTTTGGGGAAGGAAAAATCAGGGTTTGCGGTAAATCGGGGTTTTACTGTACCAAAAGGAGAAAGGAAACTCCTAAAATCAAGCCCCCGGGTTTAACTCACCGAAAACTGGCTGGGAGTGGTGAGTCCAATAGGAGTCATGTGCTTGATAACAGGTAAGAGAACAGAGAGCCGCTCATGAGGCACAACCTCTTTCTCCCCAATCTGACACCAGTCCAGGTCTTTAGTGTGTTCTGGTGGTTCGTGAGCAGGTTAGGAGAAAATCTATCAATATAATTACATTGAATTAATACTGATTGACAGATTGGTCAACAAGAATAGTAATTAAATTTTTATGCTATTTAGAAAACTGTTGTTATTATTATGTTTATACACTTGCATAATTTTTGATGTAGACATCCATATTTACCGCACAATTTGGCGAAGGGAAAAAAGTACGGTAAATCGGTGATCAGATTTATATGAATCTCAGTTGTATTATCATATTATACGTTTCACACAAATCATGCAGAAAACATTGTGCTAAATTTTCATACAAATACACACCTTCATAATTACATTCAGGGTACATTGTGCTAAACATTGACAATCTTTCAATTAACAATCACTGATTGGGTCAGAATTGTAAATATTGAGAAGGACTAGCAAGCTATTACGAACATAGTTAATTAAGTATGCCTGTATCTTGTATCAAAAGTACATTATACAATTATAATCATCCAATAAACAGTGATTGATAGATGTGGATTCTGGTAGCAAGAAGGGCAATTATATTTATTAGACACGTGACAGTGATTCTGGGGTTTAACAGGGTTAATAGTGGAAGCTGATTGGTTAATAGCTGTCACGTGTTATAGTTCCCCACCAGACTCCACATCTACATTCTACAAGAGTGATTGACATGCCCGACGTGGTACCTGTCAATTACCTATGAACTTACGCATCATGGCCTGGCGTTTAGTAAAGTCCTCACTCCAGGTGGACCGCTTAGCTACCGAGCTAAACAGGAAGCGGTGGAACTGTGTTGACGTGCACGGCGAACTGGGGGGTTAAATTATTAATTGGTAATTATTAGTTAGAAATTGTGAAGCTGTAGGTTAATTTGTTGATTCAGCGATGTATTATTCTAATTTTACGTTTGTGGTTCGACACAGAGAAACACGAATCTTAATTTTAAGATTTTAACTTAGGTAGATTGTGGGTGTCTTTATAAATAAATAAATAAACGAATGAAACTAACTTGATTATTAACAAATAAATAACTGAAACTAACTTGATAGGTCGTGTAACGTCCAGTGTCTTGCCTCGTCGGCTCTCCTCGCTGGATTGCCTCTCTGCGATCTCTCGCTTTAACTTGTCTTGGACTTCTGCCAACTTGTCAAACCTTATGTTCTGAAACATACCTATAGTTTGCTCATTCATAAATATTTCCTATAGTTACTTGAATTTTTTTACTGACGTACGATTTCGCTTTAAAACAACATTGAGGTTCGTTTATAATTGAATTTTTTAAACATATCAGAAAGTTTCTGGTAAGAATTCGCTATTACTCGCCACAATTACAGACATAAAAAGATAAAAGGAGTTATAATATT